GACTGTTACAATACAAATTCAATATCTGCTCTAGAACAAGAAAAAATCTTTTAAATTTAATTTATAACAATATGCCATTTTTCAAATTATGAATGCAAATATAGCAAGAATAATTCTGGAATGGAACATATATATATACACAAAGAATAAAAAACATGAACAAATAATTATTGAAATTATAAAAGTTAATTGCAGCATTGGATTGCAAATGGTAAATTCTGGTTCATTCTATATTTTATGAATTTTAATGTGTAATATCCATAACTTTTTATTATCAGAATATTTCAGAAATGTAATGTAAAATAGTTACTATCAATACTAATATAAGCAAATTTAATTATATAAATGAATATTATAAAGCATAACATATGCTTATTTAGAAAATTCAGTCAAATTAAATATCCATATATGATGATTGCAATGAAAAATATTTTATTTTATTCTAAAGTTACCAATCAAACATTATATTAAAGCAATATTTAAAAACTGTAAATTTTATTTAAAATTAAAATATAATTATTAACTTAAGCTCTATGAATTTAATACCTAAATAACATATTGAATTTTAAAAAATTTAAGTATTCTATTCATTTAAAAGTTTATATCTTAAATTATATTATTATTAATTTTAATTACCATGAATGCTTCAACAACACTAGAATTTCCATTTAAAGAACTTCCAACATCTGAATGTGGTCTTGGAGGTGGTTTTGTTTTGGGTGAAGATTCTGACGTAGAAGCTGCTCTTCTCCTAATTAGTGCTGGACTTTCTCCTAGTTGTGAATTCTTCANTTTTTTTTTTTTTTTTTTTTGCGCTAGAATTCATAACCAGAGTTGGCTTAGGAACTTATTGAAAAAATATATCTTTGGTTTTCGAAAGATCTTATAAAGTTGAGACATTTTTCGTTCAAAAAATACACCAATATATATATTTTTTTTTATTCCGAAAGCCGAAATAGGCTGGTTATATAGAATATGTTCAAAGTTATATCTTCGTATCCTATCTGTTCTCCTATAAAGAAGGTACTCGAGAGTGATGTCTGGTGAGAGAGAGAAAAAAAAAAAAACAGCGATGTTATCTCTTCAATACAGCAAGCATAAGTATATATATATATATATATATTGGCAAATTGCTAAAAGATAAAAACTATATCAATATATTGGAGAATATCCTAAATATGAAAATAATTACTGATAAAATATGTATCTTTTAATAGTAAAAAAGCCCAATTAGATTATCTGTATTTAGGCTAACTAATTTTTAATACGATTGCTATTAAATTTATCACGAAACTATAAATAAATAATCGAATTTTAATTAATTTGACTAGATTTTATTATTAGCTGTGTTTTCCTTGTGTATTTTATTTTATTCTACTAACATACTTTAAAATTTGAGCCCAATAAAAATATATATAGGCCTATATAGTCTATATAATCCTCTTTGAAAGAAGTATTGATATTTATTTTTGAATAAAAGTTCTTATATTATATTAAAAATACGATTATATACGACTTTATATAGTTCAACATACAATATATAAATTTTCAGAATGGTTAAGAGCTTATTAAATAGGATTGGATACCTGTTACACAAGTGGTATGAAAGAAATTTTTATAATGAAAACCACCTGAAAATATAACAATATATTTTAATATATTCCATTTTTATTATTTTGTATCATTTTATTTTTTTAAATTTAGTTTTTACATAAATATTATTACATTTTCTACTTTTTCTATTTTAATATCGTGTTAAGATATCAATTATTAAACTGTTAAAATAAATGTACAGACATACGAACCGATCTCTTTCTTTTGTCTTTTGAAAGCTAAAAAAAAAATGAATTTTTTAGCTTTAAAAATAAGATATTTCGAATAGTTCTTTATGCAAATTATGAAAAATCGTATTTCAAATGATCCTACGTTATTTTGAATTGACAAGCTAAGCTAAAGAAAGACATTGTTATACAAAGAAGTTAGGAAGCTAAGAAGCTACAAACGTGTTATTCAACTACTCTGGTGTTTTCTATAATGCATATTGTGTAGTAAAATACATCAATATCATAAGATTACACGATGCACTATTTGAAGTTATTGTGCACCGGAATAAATAAATAAATAAATAAAAAAGAAATACTTTGTTTTCAATTTATAAAACCCGCTTAATGTCTAGAAAATCTTTAACGTTGTTGAATATTTTAGTTACGAAAAGATTGGCACTATAAAGGCCATTTAAATTATAAATTAAGTATAGTTTAAAAAGAAAAAAATACCATTTAAAATGGCTCTTATCTTAAAAAAAAAAAAAAAGGTTAAATAATTGTTACAAAATACTTAATTACAATGATTAATGTTTAATATTTCATCTTCAGATAAATAATTTTTGATTTANTTATAAAACCCGCTTAATGTCTAGAAAATCTTTAACGTTGTTGAATATTTTAGTTACGAAAAGATTGGCACTATAAAGGCCATTTAAATTATAAATTAAGTATAGTTTAAAAAGAAAAAAATACCATTTAGAATGGCTCTTATCTTAAAAAAAAAAAAAAGGTTAAATAATTGTTACAAAATACTTAATTACAATGATTAATGTTTAATATTTCATCTTCAGATAAATAATTTTTGATTTACTAAATTTATTTTAAGGTATGCTCTAAGGCATAAAGAAAATCATTTCTCTTAAATTACATCTTAATATTGTTTTAGAATTTGATTTGCTGCAGTCGTGTGTTTGTTCACAAAATGTGCATCCAGCAACGACCTTCGACACTTCTCATCTTTATCAAATATCCGTATTTATATAAATTCTCAAGTCAATGGCCACGTGTTTATTTAAAAAATAATTGAAATACATTTTCTCATTTAAAAAAGTTATATTTTAGTTCTAAATTGCGTATTATTTAAACCTGTATAAGTTACAAGACCGAATTAAGTATATATATATATATATATTTTTTTTTAAACAGAACTTAATTTACAGATGTAGAAGTTTGGTGAGAATCTATGGAAATTAAAGTTTGCCGACCTGTGGTATAGTCGAATTCAAAAACATTTGCCAGGCTATCACGACATCGGTTAGGTATAAAACTATTTATAGTCGCAATGCAGAATGGCCTGGTTAATCAGTGGTGAATTGAAAAAAAGTGCTTTTGACCTTGCAAGTATGATAATCTGTTTACCACTTCTAGAAATTAAGACTGTACTAGATATACTTTATATGCAAATTATATAACTTTAAATTAATTACTAACTATATTAGAACGTTATTTATTCCGTTTCGATATCACTTAACCAAGCTTAGAATGTTTAAATTCGCGACGTATCGATTGGTTAAGTGTCTGTTTTCAGAAGTTAACCAATCAAATTCCACTTTCTCAAATTCTAGATAAATTTTTGTATATTTCTAATTCTTTGTATAAATTAATAAGAGAAATAGGAGGGAAGGAAAGAGTTATAATAATAATAATTCATAATACTTTAATTATCCGTCTTATCTGATTTATTTTCTATATATATATATATATTCTATAGCGAGGAAGCTCTTTAATCGTCTTATATCCGACAACGTGTTTGAACATCATTCAATGATGATTTTACGATAGATAAAAGGTTACATTAAATTATCTTTTAATTGCTAACACACGAATGTAGTAGCTCGTCTAGATTTCCATTTATTGGGCATTCATTCTTTTATAAATAATCTCATGATAATATCTAATGTTAAATGACGATACCAACTTATCTGAGACAGATTTAATATCTAGTCAAATACGTATAGCTCTTTAGATAAAGTTCTACTCCTACACTAAACCCTTATATTCATCTGTAGGATACAATTACAAATCTCCACTTAAACGACATAAGTTATAATTTACTACGTTTATTTAATTTTAAATCAAGAGAGAGTAATTTACGTGAATCGAATGTATTGTCGAAATTTCCTCAAATATCAATTTGTAGAAACGATAGCTCTGTCCATACTTTCTAAGAAAATAGCCGAACGTACTCTATTCTAGGAACTCTCGCCTTATGGAGAATGCTCAGACTCGATGCTGGAGGACGACGAACTTCCACAGAACTTAACTTATTTCAGTTTTATCACATATTTCTTTTTATAAAGATATCCGAGCTTCTTTAAAGTAAACAACTCGGGAGTCACCTTTTCTATTCTACATCGCTTTTATCGTTCGATCTTGTTTAATTATCTGTCTGTCTTTTTGCCACGTTTATCATTACCTCGATATAAGTCGAAGTATAATGATAAACGTGGTAAAAAGAAGTTAAAAAAAAAAAAAAAAAGATTCTTGAGAGGACGTTCACACGATGAAAAATCAGAAACGTCCGCTAATTGTTAAAAACTTTTAAGTTGGAGAGCGACACGCCAGGAAAATCTGCATATGGTTGTTGCTATTATAGGAAACGTAAATCAATTACGGCATTAACAGTTAATGATGCTACAGGTTGTTTTATTTTTTGAGGGTTTATTATCGTTTTCTATCTTTTTTTTTTTCGAGAGTTTAGACGATCTTCTCTTCGGAGCGATAAACAACTGTCAGTCAAGCGTGTCCATTATAAACGTAAGCCGTGACATCACTAAACGTCATGCGCAATATCCCCGGTAAACGAAGGCGACGCAGCGAGCAGATGACAGTCAGTTGCTAGGCAGACGGCGAGTAGTCGAGACGTGTGTCGGACGTCGGCTCGGTTTTTTTCACTTCTAACCAATAAAAAAATACACCGGAAGTTCGGTTAAAGTGTTAATTGTGCATTGTTGGATTACCAGCACCTTTTAGGTGCACGCGGATAGCAGAAAAGTGTTTTCGATAAGAAACCAAGTCAAATAACAATAATAAGCATTACGTCTGCATCGTTACGTCCTGTCGGCTATTTAGGACAGCTCCGAAGAAGTAGAACTTTTAAGGAGAGAGAGAGAGAGAATTAAAAAAAAATACGTCTTCAGTCTGGTTTTGGGGCGGTAAGTTATGTTATTTTATTATTTAATCGATTTCCTAAACGATTTTGGCAGGTTCGATTTCTGTCTCGAAAAGGTCTGCCAACGTCACGCGGGTCTTGATTTACGCTAACGGATAATAGAAGACAAGTCAAATATCCCGCGGGTTAAAACCTACATACCTAATGATATTTAAGAGACGTGCATACTGTAATCGACCGTATACATAAAATTAGAACCGTGTGCATCATTCGAGTCATTGACTCGTACGATATCGAGAGAAAGAGAGAGAGTTTGTGCAACTTTCTAATTATAAAATTTAATTTAACTTTTTCTTTTTCCGTCCATTCGTGCTTTGTTTTGGCGCGAGTATTGGTTATCAGCTTTTAGGTATTAATTCGTCGAAGAGATACAGTAGCGAGTTGCATTATGGTTGACCTTTGAACCCGAGAAGCATGACGATAGAACGATTCACCAACCCCCGCTGTGGACTTTGTCAACAAGATAATGGGTTAACAGGATTTGGTTCGACTTGAAGGTTCTGTCCGTGCTTCACTTACAGTTAACTTGTCATACGATACGAATTCGTAAATTGCTTTCGTAGTGGTAGTTAGAGCGTTTTTTTTTTTTTAAATATTTATCTCGATAAGGTAATCTAATGTCTTTGACGTGTTACGATCAGGCGTTGAACTTTTGCAAAAATCGCTGCGACTTGTCCGTCGCTTTGCATATTAGGAATCTTTATTGTTGTGCGTATGTATTACCGTGTATATTACCTGCTTTCCATTGTTATACTACTGCAACTGTACTACATTTAGCAGTAGGATTGGAATCAAGCCAAATAATATCGGTGATCGTGTCAGACGATGAGCTTAAATCAATTGGATTCCTGCGAGGCTTTTGGTGGCCGAAAAAGGGATATTAACCCTCCTGTTTCGAGTCTGGTCGTTTTCGACGTGTTTACGTCTGGTGCTAATCGCAAATGCTTCTTTTTTTTTCCTCCTTTTACCCCGTGCTACGTGCCCGGTTGCCTCTGCGCTATGGCGCCTCTCCAATCTTTGCGCCCATTCTGGTCATCCGCAAAATCCGAATGGATATCCGCCGGTTCGGTAGTTGAACAAACTCGTTTTTAGCGTCGGAAACAAACGATGACCTTCTAAGCTTAACCGCCCCGCTACCATCCATCGATTATTTGCGAGCGACCTCCAGCAGAGTAAGAACTCCCAACCATTTGACTGAAGCAAATTGACAGCAAAATAAGCATGTTTTGCAACCGTCTCTAGCATTGATTTTGCGAGTCGTGTGTTGTTCGGTTGCAGTTTTCGTACAGAAACGAATAAGATCGGCGGCAATTAAAACAAAACCGGGAGGCCTCGAGAGGTGGTCGATAAATTTTTGACTACTCTATGATACGTAATGGTTACTCCTCCGTTAATCGGACTCCGATTGGTGAGGGAATATTGCCGATTTAATGCTTCTTTGCCGTGTCTTAAATGTGATACGCTCTATGCACACTACTAATTAATAACAAAACTGAATGCGATGGAACTCTGCCAAATCCAGCCTCGATATGTGTATATGTGTTTGTTCATTATAAGTTATTTCGGTTGTGTGTATTTTTCTATACGTAGCGCGGTATTAAATTTATATAGATGTAACAAAGTTTGATTTATTTGTTTAGATTGACGAGAGATAATAAGCTACCTACTTGTTTGTAACCGCGTGTGTAGTTATTTATTTTATGAAGCGGTAAACAGAGTCGGAAGTGGCGATTAGTCGCTAGTCCCTCCGCCTTCTGTCACGTGGTTGTGGAATGTGGCGCGTGCAGTGCGGCTTACCGTCCGCTTGAATTTGGCCAACATTCTTTACTCGTCCGTTCCCTTCCCCTCGGCAGTCGGATAATTTCCTCTTTCTCCACACGGAATCGCGCTACTTGTTTGCAAGACGCTCCGACCCCTTGTTATGCTATGTGTGGTTCCCATCCTCGCGACAGACGAACCGAATCGATAATCTGACTTCCCCGTGAGGGGAAAATTTACAACATATACAGAGGGCGTCCCGTTTTACTTCCATTGCTAGATAGAGGCTGCGAGTCTGCACCTGCGGACCCACTGTGGGAGGCGACCAACTTCCATTCTCCCCCATTCCTGCTGGTTCAATAGTTGCGTCCTGACCTGCCTGCCCAGCTGCACTCCGGTTTTGGCTGGGACTCTTCGAAATCGTTAGCGTTTTGTCGTCGTCGTATTTATTATTAAGACAATTATCTTATGGCAATGCGTAATGGCACTGCATTCTTATCCTTCTCGTGTCCGACCACTTTTATCACTTTCCCTCATTTTATTGCATTAATCTCGCCGTTGTTGAATTTCAGACGATGACGCATTCGTGGGCGTCGTGTGCACCACTGACGATGACGATGGGTAATTATATCTGGGTCACTTTCTTCGACTCCAAGACAATGAATCACACCAGATTCGCCATCGTTTAGCCCTGTCTGGGTTCACCGTTTTCCCCCGTTAACCCCTCCAGCGTTGAAAGTGAAAGAAAATAGGTATGTGCCACGACTAACCCGACAACCAAATAAGTTTATCTATTCGGCGACGAACTTAGTACATACTTTAATTGCTTTCAGCACCGAGACCGGATCGTTAGAATAATAAGATTATCCCGTATTCATTGTCCGATAATGATCCCATTGTTATAGCTTTTCTTAATATTTTATAAGGTTATGAATTAAATTAGATGTTTCGCCACGAGGTTGGCAAAACGGTTATGCTCCGCCGCTTTTGCTATAGGCTATGCATTTTTTTTTTAAACAGTAATACAGGAAACAGAATCTGTCGTACAGTAGGTGACGCAGCAGCTGGTAGAATGGTGCAGGTGAGCATTGTTTATAAATTCGGCACGTAGATGGGACTTTTAGTCTAAACTACGCCTATGATTCTCGAAATATATTTATTTATATCCACTAATTTCTAAACGAGTTTGTTGAAATATAAATGCTAATTAGCAGAATTACTGTGTTTTACTCTCAAAAGACGTGTAATTTCTTTTGTATCGATTCGTATTGTCCTTCCATTGTTGCTCCGTGTACTGTACTTTTGTTTATAGTTATACATTGGTTCTCATTATAAATAATCTATACGTTAAACGTTTATAACTTGATGTTTATTATAAATTTTTCTATTTATAGTTTGCATTTTGTGCATAAACAGAAAGGTTTTATTAAAAGAAAAATACAATAAATTGATCGTTTTATTTTGTAGAGAAAGTTTTTATAAAAATTCCGTTATTGGAAAATGATCACGAAATGACCCAATGACTTTCTCTAAAGAATGTCAACGCTTGTAATAGTGACAAGTGACCTACTGCCCTACACTCCCATCTACTTACGGTGGACATTACCATGGAATTCCCTCAAACTCGTTTGAATATATTGCAATCCTTCAACTCCTGGCGTATTCCACGTCTGTTTTTTTAAATATTTTTCTTGAAAAATTCCCATTTTTTTACTTATTTCTGAACGTGATCACTCTTTTCAGTTTACCTGCGTTATTTAGGACACTATTGCAAAGCGTATTGTTACACGAATTCGTATATAGGCCAATGTCTTGTTAGAAACAGGGACACGTAACAGTAAGTTAAGTAATAGCCAGATGAATGTGACCCACAAAACTCTGGCCCACATCCTCTCTCTCTCTCTCTCTCTCCCTCCCCTCGTATCTAGTTACAAAATTTCCGCGTTTCGTTTCGTTCGCTTTTACCAAAGCATATCGCGTAATATCTACAGTACAGTACATCTACGAAGTGCATCCTTCCTGTCTTATTCCCTAAATTATCTTTCGCACCGATCTGTTTATTAGGAGAGTTAATATAATATAGAAAAGTTAAGATAAATGCTTAACGAGACACCACAATGTCTACCTGTTTCTTTTCTAAATGCAAAGAGCAAGATACTAGAATTTTTAAAATATATGAAAACATCATACGGAAAAACTGTAATATAGAAATTATTTAATTAAATAGTAAAAACTAACTGCAAGATAATATATATAGATGTTATAATGATTTCGAAAAATTAAATAAATAAAGAAAAAAACACTTGTAAAAGTAAGAAAAACAGAAAGAATTATTATCCAGATCAGACAAGAGGCATTAGAAATCCATAAACAACCGCCGAATTCCTTAGAAAGGGCAACGCCAGAAAGGTATTTATCAAAGTTGAAACGAAGCATCAGGAATATAGAAAAATATAAGAGATAAGGCATTCGTCCCGGCTCGATCAACAGGAATTTTAAAAAGTGGGACAGCGGGCATTCAGAAAAAAAAAAAGCAAATAAGTCCACGCGATAAAGACAAAGGCTCAATTTAAGGCAGAGAAAATAAAGGTAGCGTTAAATTAATGCCCGAACTTCGCGACGAACTGCGAGTGCAAAGAACGAACAATGGCCGACGGAGAGACGAGCAAAAGGGGAGAGAAAGAGATGAATGGGGGGCAATAGCCTACTCTGCCCGGTCGTGTCACTGAACTAGCTGCCATTGGACCCGGTAGTGTCTACGGGACCCGTCAAGGTCGCTCTCCAAATTTATTCGCTCCATGCCTTCGTCTCACTTGGCCGAAGATCGAATAATAAATTCTCTCGAATTAATAATCCCTACTCGACGATTAAATAGCGTTAATAGCACGCTTAGTAGGATTGTTAACCGGTACTGCCAATCCAGACTTTAACCTGCTAATCTGGCAACAGATCTTTAACTCGCTTTAGATCTATCCATTTCCTAAAATTAATAGACTACTTTCTATATTTATAGAAAGAGAATAGTCGAGAATTGTAAACAGGAATTTAGCGAAAATACTTTGCGCAATACAGCTCTAGTAAGTAAGACGAAAACAAATTTTTGAACTTTGCACTAAATAAAAACGTAGTATGACTGAAGAAGATTTTTAAAAAAATAATAATAATAACGTTTTTAATCATTTTTACTACCAAATTTATACAGCCTAAATACATATGTAGAGTTTAGAAAACGATTTCGATGGTAAAATGAATAAATATTTTGATTAAAAAGAGGATATTTCATCATTATTACAAAATAGTGTCAAGTATAATTAATTCGATCTCTTTGATTTTTATCTATTTTCATCACTTGTACATGTTTATTAATTTATCGAGTGAGATGAAATACGATCTATTTTATTCATTATTGTCATTCTTTCGTTCTTGTAGATTCCCATGGTGGCTTAATGTAATGTCCCCGTTAACCCGGGCCAGCTCGAAACAAATACAAATGCCTTGTTGCGATCTCGACGTGGACGGAGTGGAGCGCGAATCGGCCATGTTGACGGCTCTTTTCGATCCCACGGAATGGCCACCCCTTTTGAGTCTGATGGACAGCAGTAACGGCAACACCACCACTTCCATCACCACCACCGTCACAACCTCCACCACCACCACCACCAATTCAAACTCGGCCATTACGTCTTCAGGTAAGTTATTTTAACACTGGTAAATCTGGCATAAAACCAGATTTTCGTTCAGGGTTATTTACCCTCCCCCTCCTTCGTAGAGTGCTTTACTTTTAACTAAAAATGTCTCTCTTTCTCTTGGTCCCAAAACAGGAGCCGAGAAAAGAAAACAAACAGAAAACGCCATCGAGAACTGGTGCAAAAGGCCGAAGATCGAAACAGATTTAACGGTATCCGGCGAAGAAGTGGTGAAAAAGAAGAAAGGAAAGAAGAAAGACGAGAGGAGAAAACTTTTGAAAATTTCGGTGAATAAACTGCGTAATATCGACGACGCCGAAACGTTTCTGCGTCGATCCGTCCTTATACACAATACCGTTCGACGTTTGCAAAGGGAGATGGAACAAGAACGTTCGGGAGATCCATGGGAAGACGAAGAACCGTACGGTGTCAGCGAGAACGTGCTGCAGATCACCATAGGAGAATCGAAATGTGACACTAGGCCTCAGAGCCAACAGACGGATTGTGCGGGGAGTCAATGCGCCACGCAGTACAGGACTACTCAAGGAAACGGACATCAGGGGGAATCCGTCTTCGATTCCGTCGTTTATCACAGCCTTTTAGTGTCGTTGGAATCGTAAGCCACTACTCGTACATACGTCGACTGTTCCAAGTGTGCCAACATGGGAAAGAAACACACACAGAAAAAGAACTGTGATAACAGCTCCCCTCTCCTCGCCTTTTTCTTGGCAGCCGGGAAGGACCCACTGTACATAATTCACCGAGGGGAACGCGTTTCTCTAAAACTGTACATTTCTTGTATATTTGGAAAATATCCAGTTTACATTTATTGTATTTCCACGGATTTCACTTCTGGTGGTTTTTCGAAATGGCTCCGTATCATCTTTTTCCTACTTAAAATATTTAGATGTACTTAAGTACCCCCTTCTGCCTAGAGAGAAAAAAAAAGAGGAAAACTTAATTATTATTTGCCATTTCTATATACATAAATAAATAAATATATATATATATATAAATATATATAATTATTATTAATTCATCTTTCTGATTCGTGACTGTGACGTGATGTTTATTATGTATAGCTGCTACATATTTTCTTAAATAAATTATTGTGCAGCATGACCGAAATGGGCCTCCTCTCCTTTTATTTTCACCACATTTATGTATAATTTGATTGGCATAGAAATGAACTTTTATATGGCTTTTTTACTTTTTTCCTATTATTGCCAGCAAATCCTCAAGGTCGACTACTCTAGTGATTCCTAACCACACCATTTCTTAAGTGTTTTATTATTATTATTTTTGTATTTAAATTAATAACTTTATAATCTTTATTTCATCCATTTTTTTCTCTCCTAATTCTTATAAAAAAATTTTATTTCGAGCAAGCGATTAAAAATTATACACGTTTTACATTTCGGAATGGTGACCAAAAATGGCGTCCTTGATGATTTACCAGATTTCCCTTTAACCTGTTTAGCAAAAAAAAAAAAAAAAAAAAGGTTAAACGTGATTACAAGAATTCTCGGCTAGAAAAATACACTAGTTTTGTATCGGTTTAAAATATGTTTAACTCCTCTTCTCAGCCATTAAGCTTAGAAACTAAGTCGAAAAAAGGGGGAGGAGAAGAATGATAAAACCCGTTCGTCTTGGATTTCGATAGAGTTGGCAAACATCACTTCGTAGTTAAGGGATTTCCGGTCAGACAGCACGCGCCCTGTCATGCCAGGACGAACCAATTGGAGACGTCCAAAGCGCAACAGGCGTCCGACGTCCGTTGACTCGTTTGCCGAGTTTCAGCGGAAGTCTGAGGGTGCCATTGTGCTGCTTCGACCGGATGCGTGAGGAGATAACAGGAAATATTCCGATGAATGAATCTTAAAAAAAAAATCAAATTGAATCTCGAGTTTCCTAAAATTCATTCGGAGATTCTCCGATTTTTCTTTTAAATAATAATAAAAAAATAATAATAATAATACGTACGAAATTTTCGTGGTAATGTTTAAATGAAATTTATAGCTAATATAATTAAAATTTTTTTAAATAAAAATTTTAACGAAAATATCAGATTTTCGGGCTTTAAAAAGATGTCCGACTATTATTGTGTTTTTTTATTAATTCAATTGTTTCTCGATTACAATTTCTTGTATGTCTACGTGCCTTTTTAAACTCTTTTATACGAAATTAGAACACGTTTAAACGTTGAAAAATTCAAAAAAAATTCCATCTTATTGGTGAAGAAATTGACACGAAATTGTTTTGTAACTTTTCTGCATAACCTTGAAACACACGCTTAACACACAAATTAACACCAGATGAGCCCATTACTATTGTTGTTCACGGATTCTTATAATACTTAAATAAACTCGAAATATTTAAGTATTTTTAAATAAAGTTAATTCTATCGTATTTCGTTTCGTTTAATTTATACATTAATTTTTATTTTGCAACAATTGATACACAGAATTAAAGGTGTAATGAGAGATTTTTTTTATATACTATTTTCACTTTAATAAAAGAAATTGCTGGTGGAAAAATTTTGCATAAGAATAAAGAGAAACAGAAAGGTTTAATATAAAGTGTAAAAAGTGTTAAAGGTTGTAGATTAACTTTAAAAACGGGCGAGTTCCGGGACCTTCGGTGACGTTAAACCTCCCAAACAGGTTTTGCACCTTCCTCCACCGTTCCCCCTCCTCCACCACTCGACGCAAAGCTTCCACCAACCTTATTTAAACTCACCCAAGCTAGACCAAAATACCACACCGAACCAGTGAACACACTGAAGTTTAAATGAAGTTTCTCGACCTTCCGCTCAGCCCTTAAAAAATAAAAATAAAAAAATTAATATCTTCCTAATACGTTTGCCATATGTTCTAATTCTTTATAATTATTATCTTCCCTCGTAACGATGCTATTTCTTCACTTTTCAAATTTTTATCTGATTCGTCTGTAGATAAGAAACGAGGTCAAAATGCTATCATTGTGTTAGATCATTTTTCGTTAATTATCAAACTTGTTGATTATTTGAATAGTAGTAGATTCTTTTTTTTTATTATTATATTATTATTAAATACCGTTTGATAATAGTCTAACTCCCAATTTATCCCCACTAATCTAATGATCCTTTATTGATCTTCGTTATCTTCAAGTGGTGAATGCCTCCTATTGAAAAATCCCTATAGGGGTGGGTTGTGCGTGCGGTCATTTTATGAAGCTAGTTTTTCGCTAATTGCATGCAATTTTCCATCTAGGGAATAGAAATTTGGACAAATTACATCATCTCGTCTTTCAATATTAAAATATTTATCTTAAAATTATATATATATTTTAAGACTTCTCGTATCAACAGCAGACACTCTCTTCTATGTAAATCATCACTTAAATTAATTGTTTAGTTTAAAACTTTTATACATTTTAATCTATTTAACAAGTTAATAATATAACATTTCTATTGTAATCCCGAAAAACAATTCATTTAAATTTCTTTATTATAATTTCATTTTATTTTACTTAATTTAAAAGAATAGAAATTAGTGCAAATTTTAGGTTAATCTGTTTTATTAATTTAATAAAAATATATTTAATATCTATTAATTTCATTACGAACAACAACAACAACAACAACTTCCATTACACGAGCCCCCATTGTTTTAATCTAGTTAAGCGTGGGTTTTATTTATATCCAACGGAATTAAAATTCAATTAAAATAATTTGCATAGAATCTTTTTAATATATAAAAATATAATAATACATTTATTCGCATGTTTATAATTTCCAAAATTATTATTATCATCTTTAACGGGACAAAATTGGTTTCAATCTAGTTATGTTAATAAAATACACACACACAAGCTTTAAGTCGAGTGAAGTAAAGCTGTAATTTTATTAATTTACCTACTAAAAAGGAAGAAAAAAAAATTATATAGTAATAAAAAAGACAAAAATATTTATTTGTAAATTAGTTAAAGTTAGTAATATTTCATTTAAATTTATCCTAGAAATAAAAATTTACCTGTACATAATTTTATTCTACTTTTAACTCTAAAAGTAAATTACCTTTCATTAAACTTTAGAGTCATTACTGAGAAAAGAATAACCATCTTCATCTTAAAAATCCATACTTTTTCTTTCGTAAGAATAGTTCTTATCGATTATTTTTATAATAGAAAACTTAACGTCGTCGTCTCTTTCTAAATGTTAATATCAATTATATGTGTTTACTTCGTGTTATTGATATTCTTTACATATTTTATTAACATTTTAAATCTTTATTTTATGCTATGTTTTAATCTATATAATTAAAAAATCTTTTTAAAAGTATCTATTATTGTATTTTAATTAATAGTTTTAATATTTATAACACTTTTTTTTTTAATGTAATTACAAGTCGACCCCCCTATAACACTGTTGCTTATTCCGTTTTATATGAATTCCATGTTGTACGAGTCACTTAGATTTTACAAATACGTGTGCTGGACTGTGAACGGCTCATGTATTTGTAAAATCTAAGTGACTCGTACAACGTGGAATTCATATAAAACAGAATAATCAACTGTGTTATAGGGGGGTCGACTTGTAATAACTTTCTAAACTTGATATTGTTTTCTTAAAAATTATTTAAGGAATTTTATAAGTATTTTAACATCTGAAATCATATTTAATACTTACGTAGCGTGTGTGTGCAAGCTTGGAAAATAGTTTTACAAGCAATTTTTTCTATCCCTCAAGCGTAAACTGAATTGAAACTATACACTGTATATATATATACAGATATAGGCTTATTTTCTACTCTTTAGTAAATAAAATTCTACCTAATGTTTATAGTAATTCTATTAAATTAAAGTATATTTTTGCCATGTGTAACGAGACGAACTATCATTTTTTTTTTTTTTTTTGCATGTTGCACGGTTACAATAGTTAAATACGAGAGTGTTGTTTATGCATTAAAGGTATATGTTTATCAGTTGTTTTAAGAGGATTTTTAAAAATTAAATCAAAGCTTAGCCCCTTGAAGAAATGATAAATTGTACAGGAAACGGTATCGAGCATGTTTTACGAATTTTTACTGAAGAAAAAAGAGTAGAAAAACGAGGTTTTTTCCCCCTTTTGTAAAAAAAAAAATAGAGCATTCGAATGGTATTATAAAAGAAGGAAGAGAGAAAAAACTTTGTATTTGGAAGATTGAGAAATTATCGATTTTAACCGTGCAAAACGTTTAAAAAAAAATTTATTTTTCCCATTTCTTTACAATCGTCGAAAATGACAGAAATGCATTTATAGTAGCCATGTAAAGTCTTGAATGCATTTGATAATATTTTGGCCTATTGCCAAAATGTATAATTTTGAAAACAATAGTTTCATAACGCTACAACAAAGTCAATTTGTTATTTAATTAATTATCAAATTAACGCATTATCCTTGGAAAATTACTGTCTATCGATTTTTAATAGATATTTTATCAAATATTGGTTTATATACTTTAAGAAAAATTGAAGTAAGGGAAAGTAACCGATGTTTCATACTAAAAAAAAAAGAAATCCCAAGAAAAATGGTGTTAAGGTAATAAAATGGCTTTTGCTTGTTTTTTTTTTTTTATTTATATTCTTCTTTAGAAGTTTAGTTACGTGACAGTTAGAACGATTATAAATCGTGATTGCGTACCAATATATTGTACAGTTTACGTACTGTACATTCCTAATAAGTATGTAACAATACATCTATCTAACCATTAGCTTTATTCGCGTTGTATTAAACATTTATAACAATAGGCATATATTACTTCTCGGTGTATCTTACACCCTATCATATAACTATCCTGTATATATTATATTAATCGTGATTTTCTGGTGTATTTATTTTATACAGAAGATTAATCTGTTTGATACAGGAAACGTATATTTCTACAGACTGTTTACTAACACAAAAAAGAGAAAGAGAGAGAAAGGGAGAGAGTAAAACTTTCAATGTTAAACAACGGCACGCATAAAATGTAGTTTAAACGTGCTCTTTACCTTATAATCAAGTAACTTTTGCTCTTCTTTTCGGAACCGGTCTCGAAATTAGATAGACAAACTAACCGAAGCTTAGAGCGTAACCCTTGGGTTAACGTCTGAATTGAATCAACTTT